TGTCGAGGAGCATTCTGCACATATTGTTGGAATTTTCCAGATTTCTGCTCGACTTTGATTTCACGCTTGAGTTCCCTACAATCTTCAGTGTCGTGGCCGTGGTCCTTCTGATATTCATAGTATTAATCTATGGACCTATTTGGGTTGTGAGCTAGGGGTTTTAGGATATGAAACTCATCCTTGTGGATTTGGAGTATTTCTCATCGGGGCTTCAGTAGCGGGGTCAACTGCCTATCGAGCTTGGATAAAGTAGGCTTAAACTCAGTAGCGGATTTGAGCCTATCCCTTCCACCTCGATCTCCTGCGATCGAGAAGGACTCCTGAGAGCGTTTAAGCATTTGTTCCCGCTGAATGTAACTTTCAACTGTGGCCCACATTTCTTGCGTATTTCGAGGTGGTTTGGTTGACAATTTCACCCTCAAGATAGTAGACTTTCTGAATGGGTTGAGGCCCTGAATGAACCCGTTCTGGATGTCTCTGTCGTCGAGATAATCTACTTGAAGAGTTTCCCGGATGAAGCGACGATGAAAATCAGATAGACTTTCGTTTTGTCCTTGTTTTATCGAGGAAAGGTCGATTGACATCTTGGCGATCTGTTTGCTAGGGAAGAATTGAGTAGCTAGTTTGACCGATAAATCCTTGAAGCTGACAATACTCCCTTCTGGCAATTGGCCGAACCAGCGTTGCGCTTGTTCGGTGAGATAAGATGGAAGGGCCTTGGCCATGAAATAGAGTGATGCATTTTTTATCCTCGTGACTTGGACATATCCGTGCAAAAATTGCTACGGGTCAGAATCTCCCGAGTATTTGACAAAGTCTTTGGGGAAGTCGAAGTCACGAGGCTTTGGACAGTCACGGATCTTTGGAATGAAAGGGCTCTTATCGACGGTCATTCCTATCATTTTCTGCATTGACTCGCAAATGGAGGCACTTTGGTTGCCATGGTTCTCTTGTCGTCGAGGGATGAAGGGTTCTTCTAGTCGTGAATCATCATAATGATATTGACCGTACCGAGGGATATGGACTCGTCATGGTGATCGATATAGGACCTTTCCGGGAAAGCCTTGGGTCCTAAGCAGGAGTGCACATTGCCTCTCGGTGGGGATCCCAATTCCTTTCAGACAACAACTCGACACTAGGTGAACCTTGGCGGTGTTGGTCGCGAGATTGTTTCTTGCGCCAATGCTCTTTCGCGAATTGCTCGAGTGTTGTGTAGAATGCTGGATATGCTCTTCCAAATGAGTCCCAGAAGGTTGCACCAGGGGTGGCAGAAAACTCTACCTGAGAAGTCTCATGGTTAGAGGCTTCTCTGCGACCTTCTGCCTCTCATTCACCCGGAACTTTGCATTTGCCTTTTTTCTTTTCAACCAAAGTCAGCGTCCTGCGCGCTTCTTTCTCGTCAATCAGGTTATGTAGCTCCTGATTCGTAGGATCGGGCAGACCCAGCAAACAACAACGTTTGTATTCCTCCAATATATACTTTTTCTTCCTCTGATTGAGGTTATCATCTCTCAACTTTTTGAGTTCAGCTTCAATTTCGGCCAATCGTTCCTCATCATGTGGATCGGGCCCTTGCGCTGATTTTGTTGGATCTTCCTCCCTTTCATCCCCGGGACTAGGTGGTCCCGTGGGAGTCTTTTCTTTCCTCTACCGTCGGTCATTCCTTTTTCGCTTCTGCCTCTTTCGAAATTTTGCTAGGGTTTCATTGTCATCAGGGCTTGTCCACCTGCCTATTGACGTTGTACTGGATTGAGGTCTGTCGATTATGGCCATCCTGTTTAGCAGAGAACCCTAACTGGTAGCAGCGATCAAAGGTTGAGAAAAGTTTTGAAAGATTGAGAAAGCTTGGTGACACAAACCCTAAGTGTCAGGTCCCACTGGGCGTGCCACTTGACGAAGCCTGGATTTGCTCCTCCGATTCAATAGCGAAACTCCGATTAGGGTTTCCTGCAAAAGAGGGCTTCGGGGGTCTCCCGATGGTAGACACTCGGATGCTTAAGTTAGCAAAAGGGTTTAAGAAACGTGTATTAGTAGTATTTTGTGCTAGAGATAGCGTACCCATATTGTGGTGTGACCAACCCTATTTATAGGAATGGAATTATCTTGATGAAAGCCGAATCCCATTAGGTTTCGTGTTCTAGAACCGCCTCTGCTAAGGTCGGTTGGACCATAATTGGCGGATGGGCCAGTCCAATAATCCTCGACGGATATGGACTCGTCAAAGGATCTGTCACCTGTTTATAAGCTGTAAAGGCTACCCCACTCATTGCCAATTGGTTTTGAGATGGGAGCCCAAGGTGACTTTTGACATGGTTCAGAGCCCATATCTGTGGACCTGTGAACTATGGACCCGCATGTGCAAGCTTGGACCCGTGTGCCTTGGACTTGCGTCAATCGCTTCCGTGCGCACGGGTAGGTTTATTTACTAACCCGGCAGTATATCCGGAGTATGTACCCGTGTGTACAGGCTCAGGCTCGGGCTTGTTGACTAACCCGGCAGTCAATGGCGGAACCAGCTTTTGACAATTTTTTTTGGGGGGGGGTGGGGGGGAGCTGGGTGTGCATTAGACTGGCATTGAAGATATAATTTTTTTTTTTTGCTGTTTTAACAAGAAATAAGTAAATATTCAATGTAAACTATACTAATAGTATCTTAAAATATTTCTTCTCATAATTAAAATTCGTAATTAACTCTGTATAATATTTAATACTATTAAACAAAAAAATACATGAAATTCATTTTGGTGCATACTATAAAACATTTTCAATGCATAATAATAAATCCCTCCATAAGAGAAAGTTAGCCCAAATTACTGTATTATTTTAGTTTAAGAAAGTGACCGTTCTTCTTTATGGAAAGATTAATAATAGTGGTATAATAGTTTATGTTAAATTCGATTTAGAAAGAACGTAACTAAAATTGTTTAAATTGATAGTACAAAGACTTAGATTTTAGATTATTTTATAACTATTTAAAAGTTTTAGGCCTCAAATTCTAAGTATTACATGATGCGGGCATTTTGTACAATATTATTCTAGATATAGTACTAACTTTGCAATTGCATATATTCTAAAATTGAGGCTGTCTTCTTCGTTCAACCCACTGCGACAACTTGATTTCCTCGCTGGCGGTGATAGTAAAAAAAAATTGAACCCCATCCCCCAGCCCCTAGCGGCTGGGAATTATTATTCCGCAAGCCCTTGACTCCGTAATTGGGGGGCTGAGAGTGACGAACGGAGCCACCAATGTCCCATATCAGAAGCATGCCCTGAGCTTCTCCGGCCGGCCAGGGGGCTCGAGACTCCCTAAGCCCCTTAGTGGTTCCGCCACTGCCGGCAGTATATTCGGAGTATGTACCTTTGTGTATAGGTTGGGCTCGGGCCTGTTGACTGACCCGGCAGTATATCCGGAGTTGTGGACTGACTTGGCAGTATATCTAGTGAATTATGTTGTGTTGTGCAACCCCATTGGGCTTGAGGGAGGGTGTTGGGACAAAGAATCCCACATCGCTGTCGTGAAAGATCTGTAACCTATTTATAAGCTCCAAAGGCCACTTATGTTGTGTTGCGCAACCCCAATGGGCTAAATACCTCATTGGGATTGAGGGAGGGTGTTGGGACAAAGAATCCCACATCAATGTCGTGAAAGATCTGTCACCTGTTTATAAGCTCCAAAAGCCACCCCACTCATTGTCAATTGGTTTTGAGATGGGAGCCCGTGGTGATTTTTGACCAAAAAAACATTAGAATTAAAAAAAATATATACTTTTTCTTATTATGGCAGCTTTTATTTACTATTTATTATGCGAGGAAAGAAATGCAACAACATTCACAAGCCAAGGAGAAAGGTATATATTGAAGTAGTGTTAAAGATCATCAAACATGACATCATGTAGAGAGTTGAATTTTGTTGTGGAGATAGAATGAGAGATAGTGAATCAACAATTTCGAAACAATTAGTCAATGAAGGCATAGGCTGGTTTTCTTGCAGAGTAGGAGAGTCTTTGTAAGAGTGTGTGTGTGTGTGTTTTTTTTTTTAAGTGGTAAGAGAGTGTGTTTTGGGGTGTAAATGTGCACTTTTTGTCAGATTATCCGTATATTTATAATATCGTTCATCCAAGAAAATATATATATATATATATATTCTCCCAATTTTTCGAAACAATTTATCTTCATTAAAACTAAATCTATATATATATATATATATTTAATATTGTCACGCAAGAAATTAAGACTGGACTCGTGCATGTAAATCCTAGTTAGGGTTTAGGGTAACATACATAAACAGGGTCGGTTTGTTAGGAACGGTCGATCTTATCGAATACCTACAATGATGATCCCCGACGATTTGATTGGTGAAATTCTCAAAAATCTTCCGGTAAAATCTTTGGTGCGATTAAAATGCGTATCTAGAAGTTGGCGATCAATAATCAACGATCCACTGTTCACCGACAACTACTGCAGCAGCCATAGATGTCCATGTCTTCTCTCCTTGAAGGTCAGCCCCGAAGATAGGGTTTTAATGATCTCGTTCTCCGGCCTAGGCGGCAATAAAAATATTCCAAAACAATATACCATGGATTACAGCAACAAGGCGAAATCATCATCATATACAAATGTTGTAAACGGATTACTTTGTTTTTATGAGGACAAAAAATCGTGGTTGTATAACATTACGACCAGAGAGACGGTCAAACTTCCCGACTTCACGACATTGTCTCACTTGCCCACCGATACGACTCACCTAGGGTTTAACCCGGTCAACAAGAAGTACAAATTACTCAAGATTTGTTACCTTGTGTTGCGATTCTCACCATTGGGGTTGATTCTACGTGGAGAATCCTTCCTATCAGGATACTGCCATATGGAGATAGTTTTGCATCGCCGGCTTCATGCTTTTGTGGAATCCTTTGTTGGAATATGCAACTAGATAGTCGTGGAATTAAGGCTTTTGATCTTGCGGAAGAGAAGTTTATTCACATTAATCCTTTGGGAAGCTAATGAGTTTTGGTACTAGTATAGTTGTCGCGAAACCTGAGCCGGAGAATGGGACAAGACTACGGCAGCTTGGAATCAGACGCGCGGGGAGACTGTTTGTTGGGGGCTTTGAAGATGGACATGAATTCCGCCGCAGATATTCAGACAAGATTTTTCATTATGATTGTCGGGATGAGGTTTGGATTGAAGAGATACTACCAAGGCGAATTCATCTGGAGTACTATGATGACTTAAAGGAGCCTTCTTTGTTGGGTATACTTCCTAATGAAAAGAGGGTAATATATGATAGTGCGAAAATTATGCGACATAACAAAATATACCTGTTTGATCCCTCAACTGAAGAGTGGGAAAAGGTTGACATTGAATCGTCGTCGTCATCATCATCATTTAGCCTTGAAGATTCGTGCTATTTCGAGGAGAATATCATCTCGTTCGGCCCGAAAGACGATGATGCACCTCCAACCCTAATGAAGATAGGTAAGAGAGGCATTGATGATGGTTGTTGCTTGAGAAGGAAGTGAGTTTGAAGAAGCAGAGAAGAGGAAAGTTTCTGGTCGAAATTAAGATCTGATAATGCATGATGAAACCTTCAGAAACCTAATGGAACCTTCATGCATATGGCTTTGGATTTGATAAAGCATGGATATAACATGCTTTTTTAAGACTTTATAGTTTATATATCTTTTGTTATGTTGTTGTGGTGTTATCATTTCTTTCAATTGATTATACTTGCTATGAGATTTTTAGTATGGTAGGTATAGGTATGTCACGTTGAGAAAGACACCATGAAAATTGAAAACACGTTCTTCCTATTTTGAGATTATATAGAGTACGCTTTGGGATCATAGAGAACAGAAGACAAATATAGTACGAATTATAGGTTGCTTGACCAGCTGCTCAATTCATCCATTTTCATATCTTCAGTACACTTAATTAGCGTACGTACGTAGTATTGATCTAAGTAGAGTGTTGTTGAGATAATAGAAATCATCTACCTTTTCCTTGTCTCAATATTTGTATTTGCGATACATAATGATAAGTAACTATACAGTTACAGTGAAACCCCTATATAAATTAATACACTTAGGATTTTAAAAATTTATTCATTTATCGAGAAATTAATAACTACAATTTATCGATAAATCATTAATTCATTAATTTAAAGAGTTTTTTTTAAATCCTATTAATAAAAATGTAAAAATTTATTTTTTTCACATCAAGAAAAGTCGGTTATAACCGTATTTACATTATTATAACTCTTTTAATAGAATAAAAAGATGATAATTACAAACATCAAACAATACTTAAGTTACAATCTAAGTTAATCTTCATATCTAATTTTTTATTTTAGGTATTTATTAATTTATGAAATTGTGAGAACCAATATTTATATAGAAGATTCTTGAAAAATTATTATGGGCATATATATATCGGCAAAAACATATTTTTATCTTGTATATTTAAAACCGCACATTTTTGTCCGTTACATTTAATTTCACTATTTTTTACATCCCAAGTTACTATTTCAACCAATGTTTCGTCAAACGGCAGGGGTATTTTTTTTGTAGTTTAACTGCCTTATAATTTTTCACTAATTATAATAATAATTAAATAATTTTAAAATGAATAATTTTTTTACTTTAATAAAAAATTAAAACTCAAAAATAATTTTTTTGTCACTTTAATCAACTGGGGGCCTTCTGATCGGTGTAATTTAGTTTTCTAATTTTTCTACAGTAAATCCTATATATAATAACAAAATAAAATTAAAATAGTTAATTAAACAATAAAATAAAAATAAAGTAACATTTAAAATAACATTAAAATATAATAACCATCAAGACCGTGATACAGCAAGAATCTTGGTTTTAGAATAGTATCAGACTATCAGCCGAACAGAAAAATGTTTTGTAACTTCTACATCAATAAAAATAAATAACTAAACTACAGGCAATGATACAATTATAAAATTGTGAAAATGACATAAAACAAGTGATTTTTTCTCCATCGTCGACTTTCTCATCGATTTTGCTAAGCAGACAGAAAGAAAAGTCAACGCAAACAATTTTAACAAAAAAAGTATATTTTTGTAAAATTTTTCATTGATATAGAAAACCTAATTAATAACCAAACAATAATAATTTAAAGAATTTTAAAAATAGTATAGAACAATTGATTTGATGTTTTTCGACTTTTTTTTGTCGCATTTGCTAGACGGAAAAAAAATACAGAAAGTAATTTTTAATAATACTATAATATGTGGGTGAATGGGAGAAACGGCTAGGGGTAAAATGCAATTCCGGTTTTTTTAAAGGTAAAATGTAGTTGGCTCAATACATTATTTGCCACGTTTCTCGACGTTCGTGTTGAATTGAAGAAAATGCTAACACGTAGTTAATGATGTACCTAATAATGCCCATTAAATTTGTAGCAGTAATATACCAATAATTGAGTCTATTAGACATTAGAGAGCTTTTTGATCCACGAATTGGGTTGAAATTAGAAACTTCAAACTTTACTGTAATGGCACTTTGAAATTGGTAATCAGTAGGAATGTAGGACAGGAGGCGTGAGACCATTCAAGAGAAACCCCTTTCATTTTGCTTTCTGAAATTCTTTCTGGACAGCGATTATACCCAATTTCTGGACTTTTGTAGGTTTTGCATCACTGGGCTTTGCTACTTTTCGCAGGTAGGATCTTTTATTTTAATTGGTAGTTTCTCTCTTTGTGCTGATTCTTGCTGTATCACGGTTTTGATGGTTTTTAAGTTTTCAGGTTCTTTGCTTCCTTTTATGGGCTGCTTTCTATTTGTTAGATTGGAAATTTTGGTAGATAGAATTGGAGCAGCTCGTAGGTACTGTTTTATGGTTGCATGCTGATGTACTGAAGAGTTATTATGCTTGGTCTTTCTTTACTTGAAACAGAGTTGCTGAAGTTGTTTGTAGGAAATTGGTCTATTATATGGAACATTTTGAACAAAATTGAAATCTTTAAAGTTTCAAACTTTCTGTTTGTGCTGCTGAGAAATGCCGTGGGGTTTTTCAGCTGTCAGATATGTATAATTAAGTTGCTTAGGTTTCCAAGATCACATCTTTGGGAGACTCTGCTTCTGCTGCACAAATGTTGGGAGGCCCCCCTGATACTTGTAGTAAAAAGGGGGGAAAAAAAAAATTGTTCTGTGTTGTTTCGTTCATGATCAAGTAAGGAGCTCTTTGGCTAGAATTAGCACCAAGATACCCTTGAATTTCACTTTGCCTTTGGTTGGATGGTGATTAATGAGAATGAAACCAAATTGGCTTCTTGGTGTTCATTTCATTTATACAAGCTATGTATAATCTTCTGCCATAGTTTTTCCTATTCAATAGGTACCCTGATGCTACTTGCAACAATATAGAACCACGTTTTCTGAGATTTTAGGATTTTCTTTCTCTGGTATGCAAAATGTTAATTCCTCAGAACTTACTCTAAGGTATATGTCAGGATAAACCCATTGGAAAGAGTAAAGCAGTGTTGTTTGTCAAGCACTTGTTTCCTGTTTTCGATGAAATCATGGCATCTGGAGGAAGTGCATCAGTAAGCATCGATGAGTCAACTGCCGCCATCTCTGATTATTGCTCTGCCCTTGAAAGTGAAGAATCTGTTGATGATAAATTCGGGATGCCGTTGAATTCTGCTATTTATGAGTTACTAGAGTGCCCAATCTGCATGCACTTAATGTATCCTCCAATCCAGCAAGTAAGTTCTGGGATTTACTCTTGTCAACCTTAACTTGTCACCTACATACACAGTAAATTGTTCTTTTGGGGGAGGGTTTTATTTATCTTTGGTGTTGCATTGATCGAGAGTGGTTTTATGTATCAGTGGCCATTCTGACTCAGGTATCCAAATGAAGGGTTATGAAGGGAATAGACAATGCAATATTTTTCGTAATTTGCATTCTATTAACCCTGTTTTCCACAAATACTTATTGTTTGAACTTGATTGATAATTACTTTTGCCTCTCTATATCTGAACTTGGAAACTAAAGTTTAATTACTGAGGTTGTTCTGTCATTACCTTCGATATTCATGCAACTTTTTCTCTGTGAAGTGTCCAAATGGCCATACCTTGTGCTCAAATTGCAAGTCTAAGGTCCGCTGCTGCCCAGTTTGTGAACATGAACTTGGAAACATTAGGTGCTTGGCATTGGAGATGGCTGCAGAATCACTTGATTTGCCGTGCAAATACCAGATGTTTGGCTGCCGGTATATATTCCCTCACCAAATGAGGCTCAACCATGAGGAGGTTTGCCAATTCCGCCCTTACACCTGCCCTTATGCTGGAACCGACTGCAATGTCACTGGTGATATCCCTTATCTTGTTTCACATCTCAAAAGAGATCATAAGGTTGATATGTATAACGGGGCTTCTTTCAATCATCGATATGTCATGTCCAAACCCCAAGAAGTTCAGAACGCCACATGGATGTTGACTGTAAGCTATCTCTCCATAATCCCCCTCCCCCCCGGTGACAAGACAAGATTGAAATTGTTGATCAGTAAAAACATGGAAAATATGCATCTGCATTGATGGGATTGCAGTGGCCAGCTTTCGCGACATTATTTCTTCGATGTGTCAAACAATCTTTTAAAGCTGTTAATTTTTCCATGCCACAGAATATTTTGGCTAGCAATCTTAATTGGCTACTGCAATTTATATCTAGTGCATTAAGAACCCTAGCAATGTTCTCCCAACCTATTACTGCCTAGATTCTTGTCACATTAGTTCTTTCCATAATATGTCTTGGTTTAAATTTGTAATTACTTTCGTTAACGCAAAGGTGCTTGTTTTAATCAGAAAATGCATATTCCATGTTCCACTGACTCGCCCTCGTCAGCTAGGAAAGAAGTTTCAAATGTTTTAGTTGATACTGGTTTCTGAACTTCTGGATATTCTTTAGTTGAGAGAGGTTGCTTTATTGCTATATAGACTAGTTGTCTTTAGTTGAGAATTTCTGAAGTGTCTCAATTTATTTTATTGTATGTGCAGGTTTTCAATTGCTTTGGCTACCACTTCTGTTTACACTTCGAGGCTTTTCCATTGGGTATGGCCCCGGTTTACATTGCATTCCTGAGATTCATGGGGAGTGAGGAAGATGCCCAAAAGTTCAATTACAGTTTACAAGTTGGTGGAAATGGTAAAAAGTTAATATGGGAAGGAATTCCAAGGAGCATACGAGACAGCCATAGAAAAGTTAGAGACAGTTTAGATGGACTGATTATCCAAAGAAACCTGGCTCTCTTCCTCTCTTCTGTTCCTGATAGGCAGGAGGGAGAGGAGCTGAAGCTAAAACTGACGGGTCGTATATGGAGAAATAACATATCATAATGTAAAAACAGGAAAAGATCTTTGTATCTATGCAATAGCATTGTTTTGCTTCCCTTTTGAACTGAATTAAAATGTGTTGTCGGAAGAAGAATTCGACACGGCTGTAGCTTTGTAGCAAAGATAATATGGATGGTGTGTGTTCTGTTTTGGGCAGTTCTGTTTTCACTGAACTCAGGTGGCTCTGCTTTGTATATACTGAAGAAAGCTCCCAAATTGCAGTCTGTGCTTTTGATATGTTGCCAACAGTTTTTTGCTGTTCATTGAGGAAACGTGTACAAATTACTTGGCCTTTGAATTATTTGCAGTTACTTTTTTTTTTTTTTAAATGCAATAATCAAATGTTACAAATTAGCAGACAGACCAAGACATCCATCACCTTACTGGATTCTAGAATTCTTAAACTTAAACATAGTTAAATTAAACAAGTAACGCTAGCAAAATCAAATTCGGTTTATTTCCAACATGAAACCACTGGCGAAATGAAGAACAAAGTTTATAAATAAATACTCCACGACAGAGTAAATAATTATTCTAAAATACACCTGAAATTGTTGGTTCTCCTACAGGACACTGTGGGGAAGAAGGCCAAGCACCCGAGAGATTGTCAATGGATGCAACCAGCCATGCAACCGATTTCGCCCCTCATGATGGATTCTTTCCAACCTCTGGCTATCAGCGTGATACATAAAGAAATGTGCTTCGTCACATAATAGAAAAACTGAGTCTGATGTTCCCGCAACAAATGCTACAAACCAAAACGTTGTACCCAGCTTGATTTCAATACGCCATTCCGATAAAGCCGCTGAATTTCTCATCACCATGGAATCAATATCGATCTCGTAGCAAAACATCCAACAAGAATCATCATCAATGTTATCAGCTGACGACCTACTATGGCCAACCAATACACAACGCCACGACTGCCGATGCTCCTGTCCATGAACAAAATGTATGGATGGACACAATGTATGTTGTCATCCGGTTCCGCCTGATAATTGGATTTAGCATATATAACCTCGAAATTTTTTCCGCTCCTCATGTGACAAAACAGCTGTGGCAACATCCTTCTATTTCACTGGAAGTTTAGGCAATCGGATGCGCTGTTTGGTTGCAGGATTCCCCACGTAGTATTCCTTGCGATGTTTACCTGATAGAATTAGACCACCGTCTGATGTGGCCGCAATGAAATAGCCAGCATTACTCATGAAATTGCTTCCGTTTAAAACACGCCCTGATTCGGTAGTTGGCACCAAGTCAACAAATGTCGGGGGAACGCAACGACGGTCTAAATGTTCAGCGTCATAAACCAAAAATCCTATAAAAAATTCAGGATCCCAGCCCTTCCAGTTCTTCCATCTCTTCATATAATCTTTTCGGAAACAAGGACTGGTTATCAACTCCAGCCATTGCTTCGAAACAAGTATGTAACCGAAAATACATTCGGGATCTGCTCTCAGGAGAATCTCCCACGGAATATCATTCATCATCTCTGTTACTAATGACCTATCAGTTCTTATCAAAGCCAAGCAGAATTACTGAAAATATTTAATTGATAGGGAACATGGTCTAATTGATTTGAGAATGGACGGGATAAGCAAACCCTTGTTGTTGTAGAGATTTAAGAAAGACAGACTCTTTGATAGGCTTCAAAAGCTTAGGGTATGTTTGCTTCGTTTTTTAGGTGTGTGTTTTTAGGTGTTTTTTGTATTAGGAATATAAAAGATGTATTACAAATATAAAAAAGATATGTTGGGATAAGACAGTTATTAATATTTTAATTTAAAAAACCATCAAGAAAATGAAACAAACAAAGCCTTAAATTTCATAGGCATCAGAAGTAAAAACGTAAAACTGCATAAGGTCTCTATTTATAGATAAACTAGTGGTGGACCCGTGCGTTGTCCGGGATGTAAAAATATTTCAATTTACTTGAGCAGGAATTTTTTTTAATAATCTTTAGATGAATTTTTTGCCTTTTGCCTACAGTCACTATTTCACATATGACATCTGGAAAAAGGAGAATTATTGGATTAATTTGTCTAAATATTTAGTAATACTTGTGGAGTCATATATAATGTAGAAAAGACAATGTACCTATCAGTAAAGATTCATTCACCCTTTTGTTTATGATATCAGCAAATTTCGGGAACTGAAAACCATATTCACCAATATAAGGACGATCCACATACTCGGGAATTGTCGCAATCTTGGTACTGTGTTTGAATATTATTTTGTATTTGTTATCACTATATCTTTGGAGCTCTTTGTCAGTAGCCGTACCAAAATGGCTTATTTGTTTGTACTCTCCCTCCTTCATGGGATCTTGAAACTTGTATACTAGGTCTTTTTTAATTTCAGCAACGGCCCTATTGCCCTGCGAAATAATAATACAACAAAGAAAATAAAATTTTAGTAATCAAATAATCACAATGATAGGTGTGTATATATGAATATATATATATATAATATTTTTTAATAATAGGTGCAATTTACCTTTTCATCGATTAAGACGCTCTCAATCATGGAGATTTCATTATCATCATTGAAATCCATCTTTGTCCACACGCGTAGAAGACGAACTCGGACATTCCATCCAACTCCTCGCCTATTATCGACCTCGTTGAGAAAATTAAATTTGGAAGACATGATATACAAAACCAATACGGATGTGAGTGTATTTTGGTGTGTGTTTTGATTCAAATCATATGCTAAATATTTATAGGTAATAAAAGTTCCGTAATTTTTTTTTATTTGGATAATGCACCATTTTTTTCGGATTAGGGGGGAATATTTATGTGGTCAAACCATGAAATTTGTGTGCCATGATTGGCTCGCTTAGATTATATTAATAAAGATTTAATTTGATTTCAATTTTTGATATAGTAAGAATGTCCAAATTTTTGATTTAGTAAGAATGGGAAAATTTAATGATTATCCAAAAAATAGTAATCATGGAATAATTTTTGGAAAGATTGGCCTGGGACTTGAGCGTCGTCTACGTTGTGTAAATTCTTGAATCACATAAGCCGCACGAGTCACGCCTAATCTTTGCTTCCAATAATAATTAATTATTTTGATTTCCATTTTATGATTTAGTAAGTATGGGAAACCGATTTTGAAATTTTGTTACATTAATTGTAGTTTGAATCTGGACGGAATTATGAATCATAAGATTTTTTTAAAGTGGTATTTGAAATGGGATAATCAATACATACCTAAAATAGTTAAGGATAGGACAATTGTGAAACTGAAATTTCATCCATGTTTATTTGCATTAATGGATTGTCAGAAATATTTAAATAGCAAAGTTTTATTTTTCTATCCAATTTCAATAATTATTATTTAAATTATTTTTTATTACATGTTTTTATGCCTTATGAATTAAATTGGATTAAATTTTCTAATGTATTTTTTTTCCACGAGTTGTTATTGGCAACACGTCTATCAACCAAAATCATTGCAGTTTTTTAACTTATTAAAGACTAAAAACCTTTTAAACATGAATATGCAAAGTAACATGGTGTTAAAAGTGAAAATAAAGATGAATTAAGAGCTGTGTTTTCTTCTTTTTTTTTCTTCTTTTCTTTTTTGGTGTAACGGCGTGTCAAAAATACTAAAATAGCAAATAAAATCATTACAATTTTTTAACCTACTATAGACTCGGAACCTTTTAAGTGAGATAACACGGAGTGAATTGTTGCTAAAAATAAAAATGAAGATTAAATGAGAGCCACCGGTTCTTTTTTTTTTTTTTTGGTTCAACGGGTTGTTATAAATTCTATAGCAGCTAAAACCATTGCAGATTTTTAACTTACAAAAAACATGGAACATTTAAGCATGACGATACATAGTGACATGATATTAAAAATATAAATGAAGATGGAATGAGACCCGTGGATTTCTTTTTTTTCCAACGTGTTGTCGAAAATACTAAATTATTAACTTATCGATAAGTATCATCTTTGAACAAATAATCTTTGATTAAATAGAAAAATTTTATTTTTAGTTCCATTTTCAATGATTATTAATCAAATTGATCTTTTTTTATTACGCGTTTTTATGTCTTATGAATTAAATTGGATTAAATTTTCTAATGCATTTTTCCCCAATGTGTTGTTATTTGTAACACGTCCATTAACGAAAACCATTGCATATGTATTATTTTATTAGTAAATAAACAATACATTTACTGTATGTTGTAACCTACTATCTGTTATACACCTTCGTTTTTATTCTTATATGTTGTAATTATATACTCATATTCTACGTCAAAAAACATAGGACAATTTATTACAAATTTGTCCACCGTGCAACGCACGGGTAAAACACTAGTATGTAATTAAGTGAAAGGGCTATTTTATTTTTTACCTGGTTAGATAATCAGGTGTATGCGTAAATAAGTAAAATTAAGTTGTTACAATAAAAATTTACTATATCCAATTGAGTCTAATTTTTATGAAGATTTTATTGGACATCTCATTATTTGACACGTGTCCTAAAAACTTATTATCTTAATATATAGGATTCTATATATTCCTAATCCTACACGACTTAATAATTTCCTAAATCTCATGACTACAACATAGGCTAAAATTAAATATAGTACTACTTAATAAAAAAAAAAAGAAATCACTTATATACTAACATAATTTTACAGCTATTTCTTTAAGCTTCCTGCATCATTAATCCTACATGGACCATAATTTCCATACTCTTCCGTTTTATACACAAAAGTTAAGTGATCCCCCAACTGTCCACCAACCCATCCACAAAAACAGATAATCAAATTAATACAAAACCAACTCAAAATAATTGAATTTTTTTTTTCAAATTCTTCATCAGAGTATAGTATTATTTTTCTTTTACTTTTTTTTTTGTCAAAAGCGATATTCATTAATATAAAAAACAAAGCAAATTATTAGTTTTAACAACAAGGTACAGTCCGTCGTACTCGCTATACCTACCACAGAAGTAGAGATATACTCAACATTGTGAACAGAGCTAGGCTAAGCTAATTTGGCTAGACTATGACAACATCACTGATTACAGTTTAGAGATATAGCACCTGAGTAAGGTATTGAAGCAAACCAAAACACTAACTGATGGAGGTCAACTATGATCTAACAAGACTAAAACTACAAATCTGACTTTGAGTCAGAAATCTATAATGTCTAATAGTCTCATATCTAAAGCATCCCTTCACTTGTTTCTCTTTCAGCTACATGTTCCGCCTTGTCTTCCTCACTGAGCCATGAATCTTCTTCACCTTCATCAGATCTGTTGAAAAACACAGAAAAAACACACAAGACAAAAAAAAAATCCAAAGGGGAACCGAAAATCTCAAAATGAGACATCCAGACTTCCATAACGGAAGAGCTAAACCCACCAATAATGGGTGAGAGAAATTTCCAGAAAGGAAGAGCTAACCAAAAGATTAAAAACAAGAAAAAAAAAATGTGAGCTCCCCCATCTTCCTTCTATGGAAGATGGGGGAGAAGTGGATGAAAATTTTGAGAGTTTTTTGGGTAGAGAGAGGGAGAAAAAGTAGAGAGAGATAATTTATCTATTATTTTTCTTTTACAGGGTGTGCCTTTTTTTTCTTAAATATCCCTTCCTTCTGAGTATTGAGCAGGAAACCAACATGATCTTTCTTCCCCAGCAGTTCTGGATCCCATGCCACAGGGTAGGAACGGTCCAAGGCTCCAAGCAATAATATGAACAGAGATCAAGGTACTTCAGATTTGAACAAAAAGGCAAAGAAAAAGAAGGACAAATAGTTTTTGTCACTCAAAGCCAAAAAGTAGAAGAGGAATTTTGGAAGAAACACACCTACAAGGTAAAAAACACCAATCAAAAACTAATTATTATATATAAAAAAAAACTAATACTAACCAAACATAGCAAAGTTAAAATTCAATTTCATATTTATCACCAAAAAAAAAAAATCAAACAACCTAAAAACATACTCAACTTGCACAAAAAAGAATGAAGATGTAACTCATAACCACAAAAAGATGAATAGACCATACAAATAGAGTCAATTTAATTTCTCAAACCTCATATCTACAACAACAACAATAACAAACCTTTTTTCTCACTCGACTATATGTATTATATGTCATCATCGTACACATTTGGAGCATAAACCATTGGTCAAATTTAAATACTTCAAGTCATTATTGATAGTTTCTTTCCATATTTTTCTTAGGTCTACTTCTGCCCCTTTTAACTTGAATTTTTTATTCTGCAGTTTCAACCCGCTTAATGGGGGCATCTAATAATTTCCTACCCACGTGTCTGAACCATCTCAAACAATTTTCTCTCATTTTCACATCTATTGGAGCTATCTCTACTTTCTCTCTAATACAATCATTTCTAATCGTATTCACACATCAATCTTAACATTCTCATTTCCGCTACTCACATTTTTTTTGTGTTGCTCATTTTCATATATAATACATATATTTTATAATTTCTATTCATCCTAATATCACTTTAATCTTTTCTAACATCCACCACATTATATATCCGTTAATCTTACCATATGTTTTTTCAAAGTCAACAAGGACCATGTGCAAAATGACATTCTTTAACATAGCCTTCAGCCAAGAAACGCCACGATGCTGGAAGACATGTGAAAACATGTTGACTTGTGGGCGTCACTGTCCTGAAAGGTGCCACAGGGGACTCTGCAGCACAATTTGCAGGAGAAAGATGGTGAAATCCTATACATATGGGAGATTGATAAAAAGGGTCCCCTGTTTTCACATAGTCATATCACAAAATAATTATCATATATAAAAAAAAAATAATACTAAACAAAAGCAAAGTATTGAACATACGCAAACAAATTTCAATTTCAATTTCATATTTATCACCAAAATAAAACAAGAGAAAAACTTCAAACTACCTAAAAATATACTCAACTTGCACAAAAAAAAAACGCAACTTTATATCTACAACAGTATCAAACCTTTTTCTTACTCGACTATATGTATCATATGTCGTCATCGTGCACAATTGGAGCATAAACCATTGGTAAAATTTAAATACTCCAAGTCATTACTGATAGTTTCTTTCCATATTTTCTTAGTCTACCTCTACCACTTTTAATTTGAATTTTTTATTCTGTAGTTTCAACTCTCTTAATAGGGGCATCTAAAAATTTCCTACACACGTGTCCGAACTATCTCAAACGAGTTTCTCTCATTTTTACATCTATTGGAGCTATCCGTACTTTCTCTCTAATGTAATCATTTCTAATCGTATCTACACATCTATCTTAATATTCTCATTTCCGCTACTCGCATTTTTTTGTGTGCTCATTTTCATATTTTATACATGTATTTTATAATTTCTATATATCTTACTCTCACTTTACTCTGTTCTAACACCCACCACATTATATATCCGTTAACCTTATCATATATTTTTTCAAAGTCAATAAGGACCATGTACAAATTTTATTTTCTCTCATTAAAATGTTCGCATAGTATTATCAATACTTCATCCTTGTGGACCTTGTCCTCTCCAATAGATTAGGACATGTCTATGTGGCAAGACCACATTCTTTAACATAGCATGAAGTCAAGAAATGCCACGATGCTGGAAGACATGTGAAAACATGTTGTCTTGTGGGCGGCATC